TGTCTCTTAAACACTTCTATTGTCTATGGATTCCGTCTATCCATTTGGTACCTATTGGTATCTTAGATTCATTTATTTATCTTTATATATATCTTTATATGTAATACAGCCCAGGTTCGAATCCCAGTAAGGGTATGGCTAGCTGACGAGAGCTAAATAGCTTGAAATAGATCTATACTAGTCTCCCTTTATTTATTTATCAGCACAAATAAAACACATTTTATATATATATATAAGAAGAACCAGAGTCGGGAAATCTCTTTATTGCAACCAACCAAATATGCACAGGCTTCGCAAAACGGTTTGTACAAAAAGCATTTTTGTGAGGCGCTGCTCCTATTTCACACGCTGCCTTATGGGTGCACCCGCCCGGCTTGCCTCCGAAGTCGACTTTTAAGAAGGGCAGAAGTCTGGACCGACTTTTAAGATCGGGTCATGCCTGCCCCAAGGCATGCGGGCTCTTCCCAGGGGCAACCAAGATGGCAAGAGGTTTGAGTCAAGACTGTGAGCAGAAGAGGGGCAGGGGCGCATCCAGGCGCATCGGTGGTGCGTGGGGATGTCGTGTTTTCAGCTTAAGAAAAAGCACACACACACACACCCATCTCAACCTTTTCTCCTTTTGAAATCTCAGGCAACAAATTTTGTACGTTCCAAGTGGAATTAAAAGTAAAGTGCTATCAGAGGAGTTTAAGAAGCCCTTGGAGGCTTTTTCCACAATACCACACCAGAACCAACCAGCAAAGATGGTTGATAGGAGGGTAAGACCCCCCCAGCTTTCAAAGAGCAGGCTCTGCTGTGGCATTGCGTAGTCCGTTCCTTACAGTTGTGCTTCGGTCTGCTTCTAAGGAGCAGCCCAAAGCCCACGAAGTCCACAGGCCTTCTCTTTTAGGTTCTGGCCTGGACGGAGATGCCCTGGAGTGGTTCTGCTGGAAAGGGGGGGGGGCTGGAGAAGAGCTAAGGCACAATTCAGATGAAAGTCAAGGCACTGGCAGGCAGAGGAAGCTGGTTTAGTTTGAGATGTGAAACTGCCACAAACACAAACAGGTGGGGGGGGGGCAGGTGAAGTTGCAGCTTTCACACAAGCTTGTGTGAAAGGTGGGAGGGAGGCTGGACCCTTTCCAAGCATTAGCAAACTGAACAATACCAAAACTGCATCATTTCACCAAGGACACGAGTGAACTCCTCAACCGGGCTTGGCTGGGCAAAGTTAACAGCCGCATTTTCCATATCTGACCATCTTTAGCTGGAAAGCTGGCCGTGGGTTGGATTTTTCCAGCTGAAGCTGTCCTGCTTGGTGCTTAAACCAGCCAGAGAAGCAGCTTTGTGGTGTTAAGATCTGACCTGTCCCCTTTTGCAATGAAATTAAGACAAGTTACTCGGGGCCTGTTGGAGGGGGTAATAAATACGGAGAGGCCGCTGCATTAAACGATTTAACTTAAAAAGACATAAATAAATGAAATGTTTTACAGAAAGTGCTTTTCCAGCTCTCCTCCCATAGGGGGCGTCCTTTGGGTTCGGGTTCAGGTCCGGGTTTTGAGCGAGATGGTCTGCTTGCAGCTGGCGCTGCAGCTGCCGCCACCGCCCCCATCCTGCGCTTCGGGGAGGCCCACGGAATGCTCCGTGGTGGCGAAGAGGAGCATGTCGAGGGTGGTCTCCGTGCATTTGGCAATCAGGCGGATGAAGGGCCGGATGTCCCCTTCGTTGGCCACCTCCAAGGCGTGGTAGTACTCGGCCCGCTGCTCCTTCCGGATGGTGATGGGTGGGTAGCCGGCCTGCATGAGGATCAGGTTCATCAGGAGCCGGGATGTCCTCCCGTTGCCGTCCACAAATGGGTGGATGTACACCAGCTTGTAGTGAGCCAGAGCGGCGAACTCGACGGGGTGCAATCCCATGGCGTCCTCGGAGTTGATCCACTGCACGAACTCCAGCATCTGCTTCTCCATGTCGCGAGGGTGGGGCGGGACGTGGTGGCCGACAAACACCTGGGTAGTCCTCAGTCGGCCCGCTTCGATGGGGTCCACGTAGCCCAGGACTCGCCGATGAATCTCCAGGATGTCCGGCAGGGTGACGGAGCCGATCCGGGAGAGAAGGGTGGTGTTGACGTACTTCATGGCGGCGTGCATGCCGATGACCTCGTTCTGCTCCTCCAGGCTCTTCCCGGGAACAGCGTATCGGGTCTCAATGATGTGCCGGATCTCGGCGAGCGTCAGGGTGTTGCCCTCGATAGCCACCGTGTGGTAGATGTGGTGGTAGTAGGACTCCTCCATCACCCTCCGCAGGGCGGAGTTCCCTTTGGGGATGGAGAGGACCTTCCGGACTTTGCTGTCGATGATGCTGAAGAACCTCTGGTCGATTTCTTCCACAAGGGGCAACGTCCGGTCCCGGCTGACCAGAGCCTTTTTGTTGTGTGGGGAGATGGTCAAGGCTTTGGAGTAGAGATAGTCGGCCTGTATGATGTCCTTCTCCTCCTCGGAGAAGAGGCCAAACTCGGTCAAGGCATCCACGTACTCGGGGTCCATTTTGAGGGCGTGCATGAAGAGCTTCTGAGCTTTCTCGCGCTTCCCTTGCCTCTTCATCTCCAACGCCTGATGCAAGGCTGCCTTGGCTTCTAACCGGACTTCTGAAACGAAGCAAAACCAGCGTTAAGGAGCTTTTGTTCAAGCCACACGTTCTGCAGAGACGCCTCTAGATCAGGGGCGTCCAGCTTGGCAACTTTTAAGACCTGTAGACTTCAACTCCCAGAATTCCTCCGCCAGCAATGCTCGGACGCCCCTGATGTAGAGGCAAAGAGAGCCGAGGTGGCGCAGTGGTTAGGGTGCAGCACTGCAGGCCACTTCAGCTGACTGCAGTTCTGCAGTTCGGCTGTTCAAATCTCACTGGCTCAGGGTTGACTCAGCTTTCCATCCTTCCGAGGTGGGTAAAATGAG